ACTGGTCCTTCATGGATTCCTGGACTTATAGTAATGAGCATTGAAGATGGCCACCAGGGAATTCCAGGGCTCTCTCAATTGGATCCAATGTGGGTAAATTTAATCCATCTTTAGGCTTCCGTGCTGCTGCTTTTTTCTGTTGATATATACCTGAACCATTAATTGAATGACGATTTTTTTTCTCATTTTACCAGTTATTCCTATATAGTTGTCATCATTAATCCTTGCCCGACCGATGTCTCATTTGCCAATCTTGCACTAAGAGCAAAATCTCTTCAATTGCATCCAGTACAGGTATTTATTTGTTTTTTATATATCTGAATATGCCAGACTGGTTAATGTGCTTCCGTAAACACATGTTACAAGCCTCTTCGGAGTTTATAGAAAGTGTCTTACTATTTGTTTCACAATAGAAGTATAAATACAATCGCATCTTCATGCATGACTAGCTACTTATATGATGTTCATTGTTCACTTTTGCATCTCCAGATGAACTCAACTGACATTATTAAGAACTCAACATATGATGCAACCTCGGGTTGCTTTAACGTGCCAGCCCGAACAACTTCTGTGTTTGTTGAATCTCGATAAAAGTCCGTTTGCTCATTAAAAGGGAAACCTGGATGGCAGGATCCGTGAGTTATCACTTTCATAGTTCAGCAACATTACACAAGGTACATGAACTGTAACTTGTTATGTTCAGTTTTAGAAAAATGGCCCTGGATAATCAATAAATAAAATAATCCCAGTTCTCTGTTTATTCAACAGGGAAGTTGCCTGAAAGATTATTTATGTTTTATTATCTTGTAATAAGCGTCTTAAATTCAAATATTTGTTACTCTAGTTGTTTATGTTCTTATTTTGTACTATCAAATTTTAAGAGTCAACTTGTCAGATTTTCATGTTGGTTTTTGCCTTATTTTGCTTCTTTATAACGAATCCTCAAAGAGAATAAATAGTGACTTGGAGAACATTATAAGGGTATGGAAGAATAGTATCTAGTAGATGATAATATATTCAGGTCTAATAATTTTTTCTTAGACAAAACATTTTTTTTCCAATGATGATGGTGAGACGTGAATCTAGTATCTTTATTTGTTTTAATACCATATCGAACTGTGTGATTATTGTATGTGTTATCAAATTAATGAGAGAATAAAAAAGATTGTGTAGATATGGTGTTGGTAGAAGTGGAATATGATAAAAGGGGGATAAGTTTAGGACATGAACTGAACTTTGCCTGTCTCTTGCAACAACTTCCCTTACGTGCAACACACAAACCTAAATTATTTCTTTCATGCTAGTTACTTGTCTTCCACAAGCATATCTCCACTTGGAATATAATATGCATGCATTTTCACTAAACTTTGCCTGTCTCTTGCAACAACTTCCCTTACGTGCAACACACAAACCTAAATTATTTCTTTCATGCTAGTTACTTGTCTTCCACAAGCATATCTCCACTTGGAATATAATATGCATGCATTTTCACTAATTTCTTGGTCCAATGTTTTGAATCAAGGAAGCAAATTAAACTAAAAAGAATGTTTGGTGTAATTGATAAAGTTGGTGTCTTGTGATTAGAGGTTATGGTTCGAGTTGTGTAAACAACTTCTTGTAGAAATACATGGTAAGCTTAATACTTGATATTTCTGCTAGCGGGAGGTAGTTGTTGGTATCTGGTAGAATAATTAAGGTACGCACAAGTTGACTGGTCTAACATGACTTGTTAAAACTTCATCGCCACTCTTCTAAAATGAAAAGACACGTGAAATTCTAATCTATATATTTATGTAAAAGAATATTGGTACGTTATAGTGTGTATGTGACTTGCATGTCACACGTATTCATATTCAATCAAATATTTTCACATAAAATGTAACAATGGGAGTAACAAAAAGGTGATGTACAATCCAAAAGACCTAACATGATTAAAAGGCCAACATGCTAGTTAAGTATTCTAAAGCTATTATCGTTATTCACGTTGGTGAAGGAAACAGAGAGAAATTAAGTCATAAAGTGGACTGTAAATCCTCAAAAGGGTATGTATGCATGTTAATTAACAATAATAATGTAGTCAGTGTAATTTTATAAGTGTGAAAAGAACAAGATATGCAGACTTTATCTCTATCTTTATGGGATAGAGATAATAATTTTGATAGACCATCGGCATATATATTAATGTTGATTCATGTGGCAAACTCAAGTACTATGAGAATTTAAATGAATCAAATACTAAGTGGTTTTTACTATATTATCCACTGAATTAATATTAAAGAATTTGTATATCATAACAATGAGAAAAATATTTACTCATATAATTGTATGGTTAAAAAGTAAGAAAAAAAAAATTAAAAAAATGTACCTGCATTATTGTCAATAATTACAATCAACAAGTTGCCTTTGTGTTTGTTCTTGATCTTGTTGCTTTAAGGATACAACAGGATGATCATCTTGAATTGGAATATTGTTAAGGTCTAAAGACAACTCATGATCTCTTTGTTTCTTCATAATATTAATAGTATTGTTACCAAATTCTTGATCTACAGAAGTTGCTGGACTTAAATTGCTCATATGATAAGGTAAATTTACGTTAGCGCCCCCTCGATGACGTCTCATGTGACCACCTAATGCTTGTCCTGAGGTAAATTCAGCACCACAATATGAACATTCATGAATTCTAGGAGATGAAGAAGTGTACTTGTTGTTTGAAGAATTTGGCAAGTTCTTGTTGATGTTAGTATTCTTGTTTTTGTTGTACAATGTTGATGGTGAGTGTTGTAAATGATAATCATCTTCATCTGAGAAATCGAAATATGATCTCTTGTTATACTCGGTGTTGAATATCTTTGGCTTCTTATGACTTGCTCTATGTCCACCTAGTGCTTGAAAAGACGAGAATGTACGATTGCATGTCTTGCATTCGTACACGTATATTCCTGCTTTTGTACCATCTATGGAGTTGGTGGATGTCTCAATGTACCTTTTACTATTAAATTTCGTTGGATACAACCTTAAATCCTCGTTAAAAAAATCGACATTATTGTCAATGAACCTACGAGGAGGAGGAGGATGGTCATCGCGTCCTTTAGACAATAGGACAAGGCACTTGGCGGTTTCCTCCTCCTCCTCGGTAAACGTGTTGATAAACACCTCAGACGAGGCGACTGAAGACAGAGCTTCATTAATATTATTGTTGTTGTTGTTATTGTTGTTGTTGCATGCAATGGCTTCATCATTGCAAGCGACATCATCTCTATTATAGTTATCAATATTGTTGTTATTGTTGCTATTTTCTATCGCGATATCGCATGCGTTTAATGAATCATGTGATGATGTGAGGGAGAAAGGGATATTTGGAGATTGAAGTCTAAGACGTTTGGTTCTTTTGCCCTTAACGATGTGGAAGAGGTCCTTAGAAGGACAAACTACCACTTCCTCAAGAGCCTCCATAATTTCCCTTTATCCAACATCAAATGTTTTACACATTAATTAACCCTAAAAACAAAACAAAAATATATGTGAAATGAAAGAATGTTTTTTTTTAGAGGAATGAGAGAAAAGAAGGGAGAAAAAACATAAAAAGAGGAAGGTTTGATGGTAGAAGAGTTGATGATATGTAAATATAGTGAAGGTGAGAAAAGTAGTCAATGGAGTGAGAAAAATTGCACCACTAGAAATTGATGTATATAGTAAGTGAGGTTAATTAGTATTTTATCTATCAATTAGTGAGAAAAAAAAACTAATTATAGGGAGGTTTAAAAGAGTAGATAATTAATGATTAATGAGAGATAAAAGGGGAGAATTGGATGGAGAGAACTCAAGGTAGGACAATGACCATTGTAATTCAAGATGTGGACACAACCAAAATAAAATTATCACTTTGCGAAATGAATAGAAGATAATGATATTTTAGAAATTCACTAATTTTAGATAATGTTCAGACAAAAATTTTTCTATCAAAAATATTTTATCGAAATTCATAAAAAAAAATTGTCAGAAAATTATTTCATCTAAAATATTAGGTGAATTCCTAAGTAGTGAAAGGTACAAATTTAGCTTTTTGATATAGATTCATCTGAATTCATCAAAATTTAAATGTTGAGCATATAAGTTTATGTTTAAAAACTTTAAAATAATAATTATTTTAATATTAAAAATCTTAAAATATCGTACTTTCAAAATTTAAATTTTAAATTTACCTTTTTGTTATAAAAATCCCAGTAGTGAAATTTTCATATATAAAACTGAAAATCCATCTGTCACCCACAAAGGTTGGAGACTAATAAAAATTAATTGTCATGTAGCTTTGCTGGCTCATTTTTATATGTAATTTTTATAATAAGACAAGCAATAGTTGGATAATGAGTGTCAAGTAATTAACATGAATTAGATGTGTAGTAAAGTATGGAAAGTCTTATATGTGTAACCACGTTTGTATTGCACATGACATATGAGTTATGACTCTAAAATATTCATCTTTTTTTTCTTTTTTAAGGAAAAAAAATTAGTAATTAATTAAGGTGAAAACTTAGTCCTAAGACAAGTTCTAATCATGACATTATTATATTCTTTGCATGTCTTACCATGATGGGTTGTGGTTAATTATGTGTTTGTAGTATAGTTAATGACTTAAATATTAGGTGATATGTGATTTAAAAGTAATTGGATATATTTTTTTTGATTTAAATGGTTTTTTTTAGTGAAATATCAAAAATATGTGAATAATTATTAGAAAAGTAATTCAAATTAGATATTTCCAATAGTTCAGTGATTATTTAAATAATGAAAAAGGAATGTCAAAGGGTTATTTTTCCATTTTAACTTCAAATTTTAAAAATATTTTCAAAACAATAGAATAATAGAATCTAAAACAAACAAATAAAATAGAAAAGATTCCCGATTGGAATGATAATATGATTCATGTTCCCCTTTCATATAAAATAAGGTCATGGATTGATATATTTATTAAATTCGTATGAATTGACAATAATCGAAAGCACTACTTTTCTTTTAGCAAAAAGATACTTTGCCTGATTAAACTAATATCTCAAAAATATAAGAAAGAAGATAAACTTTATTATCAAATTTGACATATGAATGTAAAGTGTGTTTACAAAAATTGTGGTTAATACTGTAGAATTTGCTCAACCAATAAAAATTCTTATGGTTTTCAAACCCCAATTCTATTAAATGGTATATATAACAATATAGATAACAGCTAAGTATATAATAAAGATAATAAAAGGCAAAACAGAACATAAAATAAGAAGGAAAAAAACAAATAAAATAAACTGATTTGCATGTCATTATAAGCACCAAATTAACTTGAGCTCCCATCTCATATGATTAAAATCATAAAAATAGCCACAATAATATGAAACCTGTCAAAATAGTTATTAAAAAAAACTCAAATGAAAGGAAATAAAAAATAAATGTAAAAAATTAAATTAGAATAATAATTTTTTAAAATGTAAATATTTTTCAATAAATAAATAAAATCACCATTTTATTTTCGTAGTAGTTGTAGATGATGGTGCTGGAGGAGGCGGAGCTATTGGAGCCACGGGGCTTGGTACTGGCTCTGGCTTTGGACTTGGTGTTGCTGGTGGAGGTGTCTGAACAATTCCTATAATTTTCGAAAGTCAAATGAAATGACATTATTTTTTTTGTTCGAAAAAAAAATCTTCTTTTTTATATAAATAAATTTATTTAAAGAAAGAAAAAAAAAGTAACTAACCACAATAGAGTAGATTTTTAGGTGGAATGAGTTCTTTGGCTGGATTAGGATCAGAGTCATAAACTCTAATATAAAGTTCTTGTCCTAAGAACCAATTTTTTAATTTTTGTGACCTTAAATTCCACATCCCTGGATTGTCTAAATATACATATACAGCTGTCCATCCTTTTGGGTAAACCTAATTGTTAAAAAAAAAAATCATACAATTTTAGCATATACTATAAAGTTTTAGGGATTTGATTATAGGGTTTGTCGGTCGAGAAAAATCAACAATATAATTAGTTAGTTAGTTACCTGAACAGTAGAACGAACAATTGGATCATGAAGATTATATCTAGATCGCGATTCAGGTTTCCAATTTCCAAAACCATACCTGAGATTTCAACAAATGAAATAACAAAATCATGATTACCAAACATTATCTACTATAATAATGAAATTTTTTTTAAAAATATTTGTTTTTGTCATAATAATATAATGCTACCAACTGTGGTAGTAAAAATACTCTAATGACAAAACTTAAAATACCTATAAAGTATCTTTATTTTTACAATGGATAAGTTTGAAAAATAGTTTTACGATTTTATAGTTCACGATAGAAAATTATTGTGAAGTGATAATAAGTACTACAGTATATCTTTAGCCAAAAGTCTGACTTTTGAGCCTCGGAAATAAAGTTGTCTTTAATAAGGAATATTTTGTCTTTTGAGGTAAAACGTTTTGATACGAGTCCAAATTAATCGAGCTCGAGATTTAAAATCGATCATACTTACCCAACAACAAAGAAGCTAAATCCATCCAAATGCCAAGAATCCATGACTTGTAACTCATTTTTAAAGACAATTTCTAGCCAACCTTTGTGTTCACCAGACACAACAAACGTTCCATAAACAACCTCCGGTAGGCTAACGTTAGCCGGAAATTTATCGAGCTCGTAAACTCCGGCGCCGTTAAGGTAATAATCAGCCAGTTTCAATGGTGTTTTTGGTGTTGCATAAGACACATTGTTGATGGCATAATTTATCATACCATTCTTATAGTTCAATGAATTTTGGAGAACAAAAGTTTGTGACAATGTCACATTTGATACATTAAATGTACCTTGTGGATTAGGCCTTGCTGCACCTGTTGTCAAATTCCACCTGAAAAATAAATAAATAAAAGTTTAACCTATCATGCAAAAATGGGAAAAAGAAAAAGAATTCTAATATACCAAAAAGAAAAATAAATTAAACTTCAAAATCGAGGGTAAAATTAAAAAAAAATAATCATTTTTAAAAAGTATAATTGAAAAGTTGCTGAAAAATAGCCATCAATGAAACTAAGGAATTTCAAACTTAAAAGCGAAATTTTATCGTTGTATTAAGCGCAATCAATAAAAATGTTGTGGATTGTAAAAATTGTGATAATATCCTAGATTTTTCACTTTGTTTAAGTTTGAAATCCACTATTGTATCATGGTGTTTCCCATCAAAAGTGGCTACTTTCCAAAGAATTTTTTAAATATTCGCTATTTTTTAAAGCTAATCTTAAAGGTAGTTTTACCCAGGTGGATGGGATCATTTGCACTTTTACCTCTATTTTTGGTTGGTCTTTAATTTGTGATAATCATAATCAGGGATCGGTAGCGGAGTTAGAAATTTTATGAAAAGTATTTAAGTGTTAAAGTGAACTAATTTTTCTTAAAAAGTGGGAGAAAATTGTTACTAGTGAGATCGAACACACAAATACTTTAAGTTTGTGTGTCTTTACGAACTCCACGGCATCTGAAACCACTAGATTGCATCATATTATTGTGTCAAGGGTGTCGAAAATATATTATTTAGTCACTTTGTTATTTTACTTGTATATACAGTATAATTTTCAGATGAAGGGTGTCCAATTACGAAGGCTATGCTACTGCACGGGGTTATATTTTCGTAACATCGCAAGGATAAATTTTAAAGATCGATCCATTTGAAAGGCAAACACAATTAATTGAGGTGGATGTTGCAACTAAATGGGCCTACCTGATGGATCTAGCTTGACTGATAGAGAAGTTCACATCAAATGGGCCAGGCCCATTTGGAATAGGCCCATTAGCAGGTTTGGTTGAGTTTTCATAGTGTAATACACCAACAACTTGAAGAGTTTTGAGTTGAGTTGAATTAGCCATTTTTGCAGTTGCAACTATGTAATAATCAGCAGCATCTTGATCAGCTGTGACAAGAACAGAATATGATTGGCCCACGTGGACGTCGAGAGAATTTAACGTGATTTGATTGGTGTACGAGCCCTCGGTCTCCACCAATAGCATGGTATGGTTTTGGATTCGAAAATTGAAACTCCATTCACTTCCCACATTTGAAATCCTCAATCTATACGTTTTTCCTGAAAATCAATAATAAAAAAATGCCAAATATATGTAAAAAAATAAATTTGTGATTTCTTGGTGAGAAAACATTAGACCATGATCTAAAAATTTATTGATGTTAGACGACAATCTAATCTTTTTTCAGCCTCAAAAGTTATATTTGCTCAATTTTTAAAAATAAAAATAAAAAGAGGGGGGGGGGGGGGGTTATATTACCTTGATTTATTGTGAAGGATTCATTGGATTTTGCTTTTGGATCTAAATATGAACCTTTCCCATTCATAAGCATCATGTTTGGAGTTTTATTGTAGCCTTCATGTGCCAACTTGTCTCCAATAACCTATTAATTATTTTTTTTTCAAATTTAAAATAATTTAATTAAAGGAAATTTTAACTTTATTTACGCAAGGAAAAAATTTAAAGGTGAAAAATTATTAACTTTTTATTAGAAGATGAAGCATGAAATTCAATACAAGATAAATTATAGGGATGTATGTTATATTGACTTCATCATAATTAACCTTCAATCTATTAAAATGTGTGTTTTAGGTATCTTCATGTTAGAAAATATGTTATATCTGAATATTCGTAGAATTATATTATCGTCAAATATGAAGTAACAATACAAACTTAAGGAATGAAACATATGGATATGATTATTCACCTTGAAGCTATTTTCATACCAATCGCCGATGAGAAGATCGAAATCCCCTTCGGGCTCCGCAAATGGGGGTTGGATCCTGACCCGATTGTTAATTTGAATTGGGCCGAATGCTCCACCGGCCTTTTCGTAATGTAGGGTTGGGAAATAGAAGAAACTTCCAATTTGGTCTTTTAATTGAAACTCATAAGTCCAATTAGTATTGGGCCGGATCGCACAATTGGTACCCGAAACTCCATCTTGCCATGAGTTATGCCTTTGTTGGATCCCATTCCTATAAGGCCCAATAGAGAAAAACTTGCCTTGTAATATAGGGTGTATCGGGTACGAAAAAAAATATTTTTCACGAAAAAATGTGTTGTAAAAGTATCTTTACATAATTTAAGCGAACACTATGATATGGAAGTAGAGTTGATGGGGTGGAACGGGACGGGGAGGGGTGGAGAGATCGGGGTGAATTTGGGGTAGAGAGAGGAGATGCAGGGCGATCTTACATTACAACAAAAATAATTTTTAACAGCAATAAATATGTGTATTAACAAAGAACGCTAAAGCTTTTATCGATATCAGTTAATTGTCGTTGAATCTGATGTCACTATAGGTTTTGGCCGCAGAGTCGGAGTCAGAATTTTCAATAAGGGGGTTCATAATGTGTAGAAATAGATAGTCGAAGGGGGTTTAACATCTACTATATATACATATAAACTTATTTTAATCATATATAAATAATATAATTTTCCGTCGAAAGGAAAGCCCCTTCATACAAGGTAGCTTTGCCCCTGGCTTTGAGGACACTTACAAAAAATGTTAATTGCCTCTAAAACAATATATTTAACGATAATTATATATTATCGTTAATTAATTGTTACATCATTAAAAGTATTCTTAGAATTTACCATGTAATAAGGACAGGATATTTGTCCATATCATTGAACACATTGACATGAATATTATCATTGGTGGTTGCATTCAATAGAGGTCCAGGAAATTTGCCATTGATAGTTATCACCTGAAAAAAAATTAAATTAAAATTATAATACCTTGTAAATATATAGTGAGTTCTGAATGAGTATTAACTATATATATGATTTTCATTATTTTTTGGTATATCTATATATACTTTGAGCATAAATCAAAAGAAAATCTATAGTACTATAGTAAGAGCCTGTTTGGCTCAACTTAAAAGCTGGTCAAACTGACTTAAAAGCTGGTTTTTGACTTATTTAGCTGTTTGGCAATATTCAAAACAGCTTATTTTAAGTTAAAAAAAACTTATTTTAAGCCAAAAGTTAAAAGCTGGGGTAAGGGTGTTTTTTTTTTAGCTTATAAGCTGTTTTAAGTTGACCACATTTTTATCTTTTTATGATTAATATTTTTGTACAATCTCCAAATTACCCATATAACCCTAACATTTCTTTCTTCCATTTTTCCCTTTTCACGTTTGACATAACAACTTCAGCACTTTTATCCAAACGCATAACTGCTTATTTTAAAAATAAGTTTCAGCACTTTTAAAAGTACTTTTTTAAAGCTGCTTTTACTAAGCCCATCCAAACAGGCCCTAAATTGATAACTTCAATACCTTGCACTTGAAGTAAGTTACTCTTAAAATTATTAACAAGCTCGATCAGACTTAATAATTGTAATTTAAAATAGTATACGTATCAAAAAAATTCATAAATCATATATACAAAAGTTAAATTCATAATCTCAATTACTAGAACTCCACTTTTAAATTCAGAATAATATACTAGCACTTGAGACCATATTATAAAAAACAAAAACTACAATTTTTCTCCGATTCTTAATTCAGAATCCATAAATTTAAATTCTTAATATGCTCCGATAGAAAACAACTCTAAATTAAAAAAAAAAAAGAAGTTTTGAGATCATACTGGTTGATCCACAGATACTGGTTTGATATTATAATCTTCATCAACATGCCACTCAAGAAATATCTCTTCTCCATTAATAATAATAACTTGCATTGAAATAAAATAAAATAAAACCAATAAAATAACTAGCCATATTGGTAATTCCCTCATTAATTATCTCCTTAATAACTTATTAATCTCACTATAATGATGATTAATGAAGTTATATCATTTGTGTTAGATAAGAAATTAGGCAAAATATGAAAATTAGATTCTTATAGTTTAGTTTTTTTTTCTTCATAGCATTGTTTTTGTCTAAGAAAATAACAACTGTACATTTGCTGGAGCCTGCTAATTATTTTAATTAGAAAGAGCTTTAAATAAGGTTAATTTAACTTATATATTATCGATAAGATATTAACTTTTGTGAATATTTTTATTTTCTCAAGAGATTATTTAATTTAAAAATATTTTAAGAGAAAGACAGACTAATAAATTATAAATGTTATTATACATCCAAAACAACTCTCACTGTAATTCTCTTTCTGGTAATCGTCTCCCCCACATCACAATATATAAAAATATATAAAAATGAAAAAATTACATATTCTTTTTTAAATTATAAAAAAAATTCAAATTAATGCACCAAAAAACGTGCAAATACATAGCTCACATATGTACGTATCCGAGAGAAGATATATCGAGAAAGAACAGTAATGTATCCAAGAGGAAAGAAATATATCCGAAAAAAATTCAGTGTATCCAAAAAAAAATAAAAATATGTATAAATAAGATAAAGAAATGTATCGCAGAAGGAATTTACGCAACTTCTCTAAATGGTAATTTTTTTAAAAAAATTATACTACGATAAAATGTATATTTAGGAATTAGGAATAGATTTTTAAAAAGTTTGCCTCCCTACTTTTTTTTTTTTTTTTTGCGAAAAAAGCGATACTATTAATTTTTCTTAATTTATGAATCTTTAGGCCATAGTCTAAACCAACTCTTTTGAACAATTGAAAATCTTTCAGATCTACAAAGTTTATAAGTTATTGTAAACATTAAACTATAGTCTAATTTTTTTTATGGATAAAACAGAGCAATATATGCAAAAAATAAATAAAAAAATAATAAAAATTCTGTTGCTACAATTTATTTTCCCTTGAACTAACAACTCTGTATAATCCAAAAATTGTTTTGGTCACACCCCTCTCCAAGAAATATTGATATTGAACAACTTTCTATAAGACGCAAAATCATTTTGTTACAAAACTTCTACATTTTTCTTCTGAGGATCCGACAACTTATGTAGGAACTTCCCAACAAACCGAACCGGTTGTTGCTTCCACCTTCTACATCTCCCCGTGAGATGTAGACGGGGCGATTATGACACCATTCTTGTAAAGATTTCACAAATGAAAAAAAAAAAACCTTTACATATACATACACAAACAAAATCTAGCTACGGCCAGCGAAGAAAAAAGAACAGCACCTTCACTAGATTGTTACGACGAACCTGTCGTTGTTTGACTGCACATCTTCGTAACGAGCATTGCTCGTTTACGAGATTTCCTCAGTACAGTTGCAGTTTAGTGTAGCAAGTTTTTCAACTAGGAGCAACAGTTTCCGTTACGTTGAGACTTGTGCACTTCTTTCTGTTTCGAGATTTGTTTTTTCACCACGGCGGAACCTTTCTCCACTAGACTTGGTACATCCAGTATCTGTTTAGAGGAATTTGAGTCAAGTGAACGGAATCATACGCCGCAACAACTAGCTTGCGGAGTTGAAGAAAAGTTGATATGTGAAACAACAAACGAAATATGAATTGAATGATACATTTCATTATGTACTGTGACCCCAACTCATTACGGAGGGTCTCATAAAGTTTTTTCAAAACAACTAACCAAAAGCTGTATCGCCAAATATTCATGGGCTAACACACACAAAAAAACTAACTGGTAAATCAAACATCAATATACGTGGATATAAGAAACTAAGATCGACTATAGCTTAAACAATAGCGGAGCAAAAGGGCCTTTGAGGAGTACCTTCAGCGTGAGATCTTTGAAACATAGTTGCACGTTTTCTCTTGTCCTTGCACTACATTCGAGAAATAAACAATTGTGCTCCTTCGCAAATGCCAGGCCTTCTTCTCTAGTAACAGCTCTTTCACTATCCTGGAAACAAGATGTGTCGGTAAAATGAGCAAATTCACCGTAATTGAGTTTGAGTTTTTTCGTGCATATATGTTAAAGATGAGAATTCTTGAGCATGATTGATGGGACGGAAATTATAAGACAATCAAAATGGCTTTAGTAATAGTTTTGGGTAAGCTACACTCACCCTATCGACTTTGTTCCCAACTAGCATCTTGATACACTCGGGATTCGTGGAGTAAGACTTTATATCCTTCGCCCAAGTTTCTGATAAGTTTGTAAAGGTCTCTCGTCTTGTTACATCATACACTAAAATTAGAAAAGATCAAGATTAGTCAACGTTAAAAATAGCAACTAGCAGTTCAGTTCCGCAGCAATGACACAAATTAAGCCACATATCGAACAATCATAAACTAATTCAAAAAGCAAGAGCAATTATCTCTGATGTCTTACCTAGAATTATTCCGTGAGCCCCTCGATAATATGAACTTGTTAATGCTCCAAACCTCTCTTGTCCAGCTGCACAGAGATAACGGATACTCAAAAGCCTTACTTGAGATTGCATAAAAGGAGAAATTGACGACTTTAAGAAGTATAAGTTGAGAGACATGATATTTCTGTCAGTGCATTTTTTTCAGTAGAAGGCACACACCTGCCAATACTGCTTTACTCTGAATTTTTGTACTTTTATTTTATTTTCAGCACAACTAAGTGATATACTTTCCAATATAAAATAGCGTAACGTCAAAATCATGTTTATTACCTGTATCCCAAATTGTTAATTTCAACCTCTTGCTACCAACCGTTAGCATCCTGATTTTGAAGTCCACACCTTAACATTTCAAGTATAATGTGAGTGATCCGCTTTCTCCATTTCCTCAAGTAATCAATGTAATAAATTGAAAAGCACTATACTGGAATATAATGTAATGCATTTGAACTATGTTTAGTAGATCAGAGGGAATCTCAACTTCTTAAAAAGAACGAGAGTTCGAAGGGCGGATTATGTGCCATGTAAGTCGTGATAAAGATTGCATCCTCACATCGAACGTGGAAAAACCGTTGCAATTTGCATAAAAAGTTAAACGTATGAGCCATTGGCGCATCAGGTTAACTGAACGACATACAGAGAATCACAAGGGGTTTATCTTCGATTCATCAATATTGCAAATGAAAACAGAACAACGTAGTAGTGTTAAGAGTTTTGAGAACTATTAGCTCAGCCTATGATCGGTTGGTTTCAAAACTAATTTAGCTCAGCCTATGATCCAGAATCCATCAACTCAAAATTCTAGCTCCGCCTATAATCCAAAATCCTAGCTCCGCCTATAATCCAAAATTCTAGCTCTGCTTATGATCCAGAATCCATTAACTCAAAATCTTAGCTCACCCTATAATCCATAATCCATCAACTCAAAATCCTAGCTCCGCCTATAATCCATAATCCATCAACTCAAAATCCTAACTCCGCCTATAATCCATAATCCATCAACTAAAAATCCTAGCTCCGCCTATAATCCAAATTCCATCAACTCAAAATCCTAGCTCCACCTATAATTCGAAATCCATCAACTCAAAATCCTAGCTCCGCCTATAAAACAAATTCCATCAACTCAAAATCCTAGCTCCGCCTATAATCCAAATTCCTAGCTCCACCTATAAT